ACATGAGCCCGCGGCGGGAAGGGCTGGACGCGTCTGAGCGATATGCCGACGGTCGCGCAGACGGCCCGGCCACGATCACCCACCGGGTCCTGTGTCATTGGACGAGTCCGTCATGGCGCGCGAGACCCAAACACCTACACATCGCACATTGTGGTAAGCGTCTACATTGGGAGACCATTGCGCGTCACTCACCAGTCGGCCCGGATGGGACGTGACGTTCTGACCGGCTGGCCGTCAGTTTCCACATGCCCGCGAACCACTGAATCTCAACGACGTACCGCTGACTGCTTGCCTCACTCAATATACCCAGCTGCGGCAACGGTTCCACACGCCCACGGCCCTCATTGACATCGTCCCTGAACACCATCAGCCCGGTCAGCTCGCCATCGTTACGCACGCGCAGCACTCACCCCACGTACCTGGTATGCGGAGCTCCCCAGCGGACATCTTGACCATGCCGCAAGATCGACTGATATGCGCTACACAGGGGAACGGTCTACTGCACGCCTACAGTGGTGTACATGGTGAGCGGCGCGATATCTCACTCTGCAACGCGACGGCACTTACCAGATCAGCGTCCGTGCTGGACAGCGGGCGCGTGAGACAAACATTGGCACAGCGGAAGCGAAGTCGTCAACGATGAAGGAATCTTCAATGACACTCGCCTTTAAATCCCTCGCACACTCTCCCGACCCGTCGTCATTCCCACGACTGCTGCCTGGACACCCCACCCAGGCGCGGCTGCCCCTGTCTCGCATCAGCCGCCGCGTCGCTAAGCTATTACTCACCCGATCATGACGACTCATCGCCGCATCCCCGCCCGTGTACCCGGGCGCGGTCATTCTGCCTGACGTGGATGGACGGATTCACTGACGTACCCTCCAGATCTACCGGCCGCAACACCCCAGCATCGTCCTTTACCCGTATTGCTACGGCGGTGACTCCTGCGTCGCCCGCAGCGTCCCCGCACAATTGATGCCGTGCCCATGCCCATGCAGCGTCCGGTGCTAGAGTGACGCGCCTGGTGCGAAGATTCAGCACTGACATTGCGTACCCGGTCGGACATCATCAGTCAGGCAAACAAGGCAAATGGCGATACAAACAGCACCGAGCAGCACGCATGACGAGACCGCGCTGGCGTGATCACGGTACGGACTTGCACACCCCGACCACAGGAGGGGCTGACGGTGCCTGTCTGTCAATCAAAACAAGTCAGACGGGAGAGCCTGCCCGCGCCGTCGTGTGTCGGACACAAAACCAAGCCGCTCTGCTCGTACAGCACTGCGCGATCACAACGCATCAGTACGCCTGGTGCAAATACCCGGCTTGGCGGTCGCGACGGTGCGGAAAGGCGTGGAATCCGCTGAAGGAATGTTCGGATGAACCGCCGTCTTACGGCAGAGCGCTGTATCTGCGCGGTGAAACCAGCGGGAGCTGCCATATGGTGGCGGTTATGGTACGTATTCTATTCCAATTGATGTGACATGTTCACGCCATGGGCAGCGTCGGGGGTGGGATGCGTGTGCACGCCGTCTTCCATACTCGGTCAGGACACGCTGCCCGTGCTGTCGTGCACGCACTCGGCCGTCGTGCGCGCCTGCAGCAGTAGCAGCATTACTACGAATGTGTACTGAAATCTAATATATATTTTCATTCGCGCCACTGAAGCGTGTGGTGCGTAATTGCAGGGTCAAGACTGACCATCCACGTTGCTATCCACCTTAGCGTGAGGTGCCGATGCGGACCTGCCGACCAGACCGTCTTTGAAGTGCCCCGCAGGAACACATGGCAGCCCGGAGCGGAGGGGCGGCATACGGTGGTCGTCGCGGTGACTATTGAGTCGAGACGGAGGATGGGTGCACAGCCGAATGCATTGAGCTGCGCGCTGCAGTACATCTATTCGAATGAGATGGGTGATCGCCGGGACACGTCGAATAGCACAAGACTCACTTTCGTCTACTGTCGCGAAACCATCTGCGTCGGTCTGCGTGCCCTGGGTCTGTGCCCGCGCTCTGCACGACATCTCCCCCACCGTCTTCTTTTCGATATGCATGCCCGGCCCACGACAGCATGAGCTCTGAGCAACCGCATGGGCAGCGTTGCGGATGAGCGTATGCACAGTCTCCTACACTCGCGGCAGGGATGTACAGTAACTCGGAACGGAGGAGTGGCGCACGGCAGCCATTGCGAACATCATCGAGTCGAGTCGCTCGTCTCTGTGTGTGTCACTGCCGTCGCGGCTGCCATGTCCCGTCCGCCCTTGCAATCGCATGCACTGCCTAGTGGTTGACGGTGAAATGGTGAAACAACGGGAAACTTACCTGCCCATGAGATAACCTACCAAGCGAGAGATGTGACTTGGCCATAAATAAACTGAAAGCTCACCAATGGCGGATTTCCATACAGTCGCACTTTACACTGACAAACTGTACTACCATCAGTTGTTTCTCCCTCCTTTCTGTTACTGACCTCAGACTGTGTTTAGTTCCACATTGGGCTATTCTTCATGTCGGGCGAGAACCATCTGCAGCCACTGTCACGGCCATGGCAGCTGTACAAAACACGCTATCGACGACTCAAAGGTGCATTGCGTGATGAAGATCTCCGTATGTGTTCTTGCTTCTCACGCTTGCTTACCAATCTGATGCTTGTCTAGGCGAGATTACGGGCAACCAATCCATCAAAATGTCATGGACTGCAGTCGACTTTCACCAGCGAATTGAGCTGCCATATGGTATTGCTCTTGTAGGATGGCCAACTGATATTGCCCGCACAAACCTGAGCAAGATCGGGGGATGCGACATCCTCGACAACCTGCTTACAAAGTGGCAAACAGGCAAAATGCGGTTTGAGCTTCTGGATCCGGCAAGGAGACCTGTCAGGCTCGAGCTTCGGCAACACACAAGGAGTGATGCCGGGCACTCGCATGTGTTTGCTGACAAGAGGGAGCCGATGAAGCGGAAGCGACGGGGTCACAAGGTCCCGAAAAGCGCACTGATCATCGAAAACTCTGATGTCGGCTCGGATGCAGATGCCACTGCCGGTGGGAATATCGAGAGCAGGACAGAGTCAGCTGATGAGGATGAGAGCCGGATTTGCAAACAGCGCAGGCTGGATCTCAGCAATGATGGTGACCAATATGGCAACTCATCAGCTCCGGAAACAATCGAGGATTTCTCATCTGATGCCCGGTCACTTGCCGAGACAATCGAGGATGCCGATGACTGGGAGTAATACGAGAATGTGATTACAGTGATCATTCTGTACCTACATTCCCATATGCCAGCATTCTGATATTACCTATTGCGACGTTGCGAGGGTGCGCATGCGATCAGCACGGACACAAGCATCTCCGGCATGTTGATTGGTTCTTATACATCAGCGCGCAACGTGGAGACACCTGACATGGGTGTAACCGCGTGTGGGGGTATATGGGAAACTGGTAGCTACGGTCTCCCGAGTGATGTCTCTACTCCACTCCTCCAACTCCATTGTCTGCCTATGCTCCCCGCCTCTCGACTCGATTCCATCTGAAGCATCCAGAACTGTGTAGCGCACCCAGTGTTTGATTTGCACTTTGAGCAGTGAGTCCGTTGCCTACTATGGCTGATCGTAGACAAACAAGGTTAATAGGCATTCCAGCGTCTGCGCAGGTTCAACAAAATGCCGCATCCCTTCAGCGCTCACTCCATCAACTCGTACGTGGGGAGACAACATGCTCAGGCAGCAGGTCCTTGCGCTAGATGCACTGAAGGACGAGGTCGCCTGCCTGCTCCTTGCCAAGCCGCATTCCACCGTCCGCAGGTACATCGAGCTCGCGATCGAACACTGCGCAGAGGTCCGCATCTTCCTTCTGTTTGACATCCTGCTGCACAGGGAGGATGTTCCTTTCGACAACATTGATGCCTGCATGCAGCAGCACCCTGCGCTCATGTACTCGGTGCTCAAGCACTACCTGCCCGCGGGCCTGGTATGCCTCCCGGACGTGATGGCGCCCCTCGCCACGTTCATCATGCATAACGGGATCCCCTCGGCTACCCACTTCAGGATCGCGGCCCTCGCAGCCCTCGAGCGGCTCACAGAGGACCTCGCGCACATCGACCTCGCAGCATTCTTCGGCCTCCTGTGGAGCGTCGTGCTGGCCGTGCGCCCGGCCAACCTCATTCAGGAGCTGCTCCTTGTCCTGCATGAGTGGCGCTCTGCGGGCGGGCGAGGGTGTAGACGCGGGCGCTGCCTGGTGCTACGTGTACAAGGCCGCACTCAGGATCGCATTTGACCGCGCGGAGGAGGCCGCAGATGCGTGTCTGTGCGACAAGCTCGGGCACCAGTGGCGGCAGCGCGCTGCACCCATGTTCACGCGGCGCATCCCACCAAAGGCTGAGGGGGATGCTGGTAAGGCCACAGGACGCGGGCAAGGCCAAGGCAGATGCAGACGCAGGTGCGGATGTGCCCATACCCATGCCCGCGCCCTTGTACGCCGCGCAGCTCACACACATCATGGCGCATGGACGCATGGATGCGCCGACGCTGATCCAACTCCACTTATAGATGCACCTGTGCGTGGCGTCTCCCGAGGAGCGGGCAGGCCTGACGGTGAGCGCGGGAATGGTGGTGCTGGACGTGATGGTGCTGTGCGCGGGGCAGGGCGATTTGCACTACCGAATGTACGTGTTCTTGCTCGCATCACGTCGTGCTCGCATGCTGACTTGGTCTTGTTCTTCCGCTGGCGCACGGCGGTGGCAGGTGAGCTGTGAAGAAGAAAGTGAGCTCGTGCACAAACCACTTCTGACCACTTTTGGGCATATTACAGCCCGGGCAGGGCTCGAGTGCGCCCGCACGAGGAACCTGCAATTGCGGGAACACAGGCCAGTTGCTGAACACTAGCGAGAAGACATCCTAGGATATTCCGACAAAAACAGGGGCGGGCATGCACAAGGTGAGCGAGAGAAATGTTTGCTTTGTTGCTGACAGCCAGTTTGCAGAGGCGGAATTTGCAGAGGCGGAGAGCCTGGGAGCATCGCACAGAGCGTGGTACACTGAATTCCGGGAGCAGGAAGTAGCGCGAAGAGCGAGTGCAACGAGGGAATGTGTCAGAGTGCCCGGGCGCTTGCTGTGTAGAAGACCATCTGTACGACGTGCGCATAAGACTGTGATAATGAGCTTATCTATACGATTCTATACGACTGTGACCATGCGCCCGTCTATACAGCGTTACACACCCGTCTATACAGTTTTACACACCTGTCTATACAGCGTTATACACCTCTGTCCATGCACTCTTATACACCCCCGACCCTGCGCTCTTATACACCCCTGACCATGCGCCCTCTCGTCGTTTCCAACGGGCATTTGTGCCACACATCGCCATCTGCGCCCGCGCATCGAGACGCCCAAGACGATCATCTGGATGGCGCCCGCATGCGGGCTGGGCCAAACACCGCTCATTCCCATCGCTTTCAGTCCCGATCCCTGCCCGAATGCCCGCCCGAGAAA